GCCGGTGATAGAGGTGAGCTCATTGCTATAAGCCTTCTCGTTGTTAGTAGTATGTATGTTCATGTTGGAACTTCAAAATGTTCCATGTAGATGTTACTGAGTACCGATTATAGAGGTGGGCTCATTGCTATAAGCCTTCCCGTTGTTAGTAGTATGTACGTTCATGTTGGAACTTCAAAATGTTCCATGTAGATGTTACTGAGTACCGGTGATAGAGGTGAGCGCATTGCTATAAGCCTTCTCGTTGTTAGTAGTATGTATGTTCATGTTGGAACTTCAAAATGTTCCATGTAAATGTTACTGAGCGCCGGTGATAGAGGTGAGCGCATTGCTATAAGCCTTCTCGTTGTTAGTAGTATGTATGTTCATGTTGGAACTTCAAAATGTTCCATGTAGATGTTACTGAGTACCGGTGATAGAGGTGATCAACTCTATAAGTATTAAACTGATCTTGTGATTCATAGAGTAATGATCAACTCTCTAAGTATTAAACTGATCTTGTGATTCATAGAGTAATAATCAACTCTCTAAGTATTAAACTGATCTTGTGATTCATAGAGTAATAATCAACTCTCTAAGTATTAAACTGATCTTGTGATTCATAGATTATTGATCAACTCTCTAAGTATTAAACTGATCTTGTGATTTTCAGCCCACTTCGTTTTAGACACTTGTGCTATTCAGCGTCACGTGAACTCGTCAACCCTGATTATAGCGTTGTAAATCCGAAGATTTACTGCTGTCCCACAGGGGGACCACCACTTACTGTGTTACACCTAAAAAAGTTTTTGAGTAATAGTTCTAGAAAAACATAATTGTCAATTGTGAACACAATGAGGAAATATAATTTTAAAGATTGTATTAAGACTGTATAATAGGAAAAGTCTCTTCTAGTAAGTACTTACGGTAAGGCTGTGGCGATTGAATATCAATAATGACAATGGTTAGTAGCCTAATCGATCATAAACGTCTAGTTCGTTAGTAAGTAGTTTTTATAACTAGATATTAATTAATTTTCCTCCTACCTTTAGGCTACTATAATCTGTTTCTGTCTTCAAAGAAGTCCTGAGAAGGACGCGACCGTTAAAACTTGAATCAGCTAACAATTTCAGTGTTTTCAAGAGAGAGATATCTAGGTTTTGTTAACTTCTATTCTACGATGACTGTGTTAATAGTTAGGCAAATATAAAAGGTTTTTAGTATGGGGTCCATATTCCAATATTCTAGTAGGTATTCTATTTTATTATATGATCTTTTTATCTAGGGATGTTGTATATGTTTTTTGTTTTTGTTTTTGTTTTTTCCACCAACTGGAACCAAAAGCCTGATTTTAACATTCTAAATCCGTAGACTTACCACTGTCTTACCGGAGAACGGGTTTTTGGTAATTTATTGTGTACTAAATGCAGTCGCATGGAGTTATTGCTATTTACATATCGTCTGTATGCTATGACCCCCAATAATTCATCGGCAAGTCTGCAGGTTTATGACGCTAATATTCGGGTTTCGATACCCGTGGTGGGCAGAGCACACACATTCCATTGTATAGCTTTGTGATTAACAACAATTAAAATAAACTGTATGCTTTGGGCGAGACCTCTGAAAATATAGCTGTATCGTGGTTTCTAAATAATGCAGACCAGTTTTTAGGGATCGTAAAAGCAACCATAATAACCTCATCTATATAAATAAACGTCAATATGTGTGTATATCTGTTCCTTATACGTTTCTACATTTCTTGATTAATCAGCACCATACTTGACAAAGTGATACAGGATGACATGAGGAAGACCACGATGGGGGTTAGATCCCCATCTAATTTCATATTGATAGAATTCTTAAAACACTATGTCTTTCTTTTCAGTATTCGTATCTTTATGTATTTTTATTGCACAGTTAATGTTTATTATATTAAGAAACAAAATAGAAGCCCAATTTCCTATCCTTTGTTACAAACGAGTTTTTATTTCACCCACTCAACGGACGGATACTCCAGCTAGTAAGCTAGTAATCCACTTCAATATATACAAGCTATTCACTGATTTACAAACCTCTGAAATACACTACAAATATTCAGCTAAAAGCTTGAACATGATCGAACTCACAACGTCTGCACACATCTGACAATCTCCATGACAACAGATCTCACAACCTTCTTAATCAACACAGACTAGTTCCAACATGAACATACATACAACTAACAACGAGAAGGCTCATAGCAATGAGCTAAGGAGGTCATGGATTCTGTGAAAGGTGACGTTATTGTATTCTTCATAGAGTAGTGATCAACTCTATAAGTATTAAACTGATCTTGTGATTCATAGAGTAAAAGGAGTGTGTCGTTCAAGTATATAGTTCTGGTGGGTGGTTTTGAAGTTATGTTAATTTTATGAATACTACTAATTGATTTTTCCTGGGGGAGCATGTCTAGCTCAAGAGTGAAGAACTCTGAGAAAGTGCCTTCCACATTAACTCTACTTTTCCCATTTTCCAGAAAGTTTGACAGCCAGGGAATAATACTGCGCGATAGTTCCATGTCCGACACACGGAACTTTAGACCATAGTGCCGAATACCTTCTCTCAATAAATAATGTCGTAACCTATGATTCCCTTGTCCCAGTGAAGCTCGTCTTTCACATCTTTTGTTAGATTTAAAACAGATTATGACAGTTTCCGGAATACATTTTTACATAATATCACTAAGTGTAAGAAATATTCACTCGTGTTATTTAGTGCGAATCTAAGGAGCTTGAGAACAGACAACGTATAACATAAAAAATAACGTTAATAAGACAAAACCATATTGTATACAAAACTTTATTTGACAAAATATGCGATCATACAATTGCATGTTCTTACAAAAACTTTTGATACATCAAAAACAATAGAAATAAATATTTCATTTTTGTACAATATCTTACAGAACCAAAACCTCCACATATGTACCTTCAGAATAGAAAGAAGAGACAAAAGAGGAGGGATGAGAACACACAACAAGAAATTATCGAATTAGCACACGCTAACCCGAGTGTTAAAAGCAGACTTCAAAGTCCTCGAATCAAATCCTTTAGCACCGCTAGGACCACGTGGAAGACGGATCACTCCTTCTGGAATTAACCTGGAATTATGGACTTGAACAAACGTCCCAGTTTCTCGCCGCCGCTGCATCCAAGAAGCTCGAGGAGGAGAAGAATAAACCCCGTATTCACACTTTGCACTTTCTTGGTTGTTTGCATCAAGAATAGTTTTTCTTTCATGATTGTTTGCATGATTCAAGAGTTGTTTTTCTTTTTGTATTCGGCGATTAATCCATCTGATTGGTTTCGTGGATGAGGTCAAGAAATCCGAACTAGAGTTGGAAGTACAGTCCAATCCTTGCATCATCCCTTGGCAACTTTCTGTCTTAGAAACACTCATGTTTAAAGTTTCACTTTTCCATTGTTCAGTCCTACTTAACTTGTCTCTCTTTTTTCTTTTATCACCGATGTCTACTTTTTTCATCTTTTCACTAAACTCGTTCTTATTTGATTTGTTTGTTGCAAGAGGAACAACTCTCATAGAACGCCAGTCGGTATCACTGCAGTCCAATTCAACAACAGCTTTCTTTGCGGCCTCGAGTTTCGTAAATTCTATGACAGCGCACACTGAAGAGCCTACTCTGGGAAGGAACCGTTTAATATCTGCTGGGATATTGTTACCAGGATTCAGAATCGTAACGAATGCGATGTCTCCACATTTAGAAAACAGTTCCTTAACATTCTCAGCTGTGGGATGGTCTGATGGTAAATTATACGCTACAACACTCCTTACCGAGGAGTCGCTCTTATCAGGTAGTGGAAGTTTTCGTTTGACCTTAGTTTCTTCTTTGTTTAACTCTAAATTTTCAGACTGTTGTAAACTGTAAGCTACGATTCTCCAGTCTTTAGACAAACGTTTTACTTTTCGAAATGAAGCAACTAACCTCAGACTCACATATCCTTGTTTATTTCTTCTGATGTGTTTTAAAAGAAAACTTTCTCTCAGAATATTTTCATCTGAAAAAAGAAATTCAACTTCTCTGACAATTTTTTTCACCAACTCTTGAGAAGGAGCTTGAAAGTCTTCTGACGCATTGGAACTATCGACTCCAGAATCACTGCCAGTTTGGTGGAAATCGCCTTCCACAAGACTTTCCCTATCGGTAGAGGACATCAGCTCACCGGTGGAAATAAAGTCGCACTCGGCGTCCACGAACTCTTCATTTTCTGAAGAACTGGTACTGTCAAATCGTCGTCTGGTCATTTCATTTACAGAAATCTCTTTGTTACTGTAAATCAGGTCAACTTCCTCGGGAACGGGCATACTAGTAATTGTAGCTTCGACCTCCTGTCAGTACACGATAGTCTGTGGTATATTCTGTACAGTATATATTTATAGTGCGTCGAATTACGCATAGTTCCGCCCAGAGTTGATGTCACCTAAAGCTTATTGGTTAGAAATGCGTGCTAACGCACGTGTCATTATGAGTCACGCAAAAGATGCCACGTAATCTTGTAATAGTTGCTCTTTTAGCGTAGATCTAGCGGTACAAATCGTGGACTTGAAACCTGTGTAGCACTACTTTTATGCGTTAAACATTAAACCACGTGATAAAGATTACATCAGAAAATCTGGATTTTTGTTCATGTGAACTGAACATGATTTTTACCGCACGTGTTACGCTACGATCTGACATCGTAAAAGAAAAATAATACTAAACGAGAATTAATTGATTTTATGAAAAATATTGTTAAACTGTACTAGTAAAGCATATTAATTCAGAGAAGAATGTACATTATTGGATATTTCATATGTACTTAATTCCGTGACGTCGGAGAGTTAGCTGATCATCCTGTAGGATTTCAGTGATTTTACTGTGTGTTATAGCAAACACATGAAAACAGGAAATGGCATTGAATTTACTTGATTTTCTCACCTTGTAACGGAATAATGGTAAATATTTATTAATCGAAGAAACTAAAATGACGAAAGTAGTTTGTTTTCCTAAAAGCTTAGTTACTGTTTTGTCTTCGTGGTCGGTTAAACAATCATGTTAAAAACCAGTAAAGGGTAATTTTTAACTGTAACAGGAATAACCGATAGACTTGTAGTATGTTTAGCCCGTATCTTTAACCAGGGCTTCTTTTAAAAGACCTTTGTAAATGAATTTGGTAGTTTTGGGTTAGTTTTTTGTTTTTTTCAAGTTTAAAATAAACGTGTTTATAATGCTACTATGTTTATTCTTGTGTCTATAACACCATAAGAATCAATTAATAGCTGAATAAATCCCAGTGGGAATATTAACACTTGTGTTAACAGTCGATAACATCACAGATATTAACATCTGTATAAATTTCAGAAGGAGGATTAACAGTATAGTTTATATTGTACTAACAGTCGATAACATCACAGATGTGAATTGATATCTGAATAAATCTTCGTGGGAGGATTAACAGTATTGTCCTTATTCAGTTAGAGAGTCATATTCTTGAATTGTCAATAATTTAAAAATATTGTTGTAAAGACATTTTGAACAAGAACTAGAATTTTGATATTCAGAACTGCTTCTTAATAGACATTACAGACGTAGTTTTTTTCCTAAGACTGAAGTATTTGTATCCCGGTTGACAATAAATAAATAAATATAATGGTGCTGATTTTTTTTGTACTTCTCAAGAACACACACACATAGTCAAAACTTGAAATTAATTTATTTCTACTTATTTTTGTATATTATATCTAATATGGTTTAAATTGTTTGTTAGGTGTGTATAATAATTAGTGAATATATTGATAAGGAAAGCTATAGGTGCAATCTCCCAGTGGGTCAGCGGTAAGTTTACGTACTTATAACTCTATAATACTAGGTTCGAATCGCCGTGATGGACAGAGCGCAGATAGCCTATTGTGTACTTTTGCTCTAAAATAGACAAACAAATGTTGAAACTCCTGGGCTGTAAATAATAGGTGAAGTTACAGTGACGACAGACTTATAACAACATACATTTACGCAGACAAACTCGTGGAAACAACGTTCTAGTAACTGCCACGTGTACGAATGTGTGCTCTCACATATGATGTAATGATTACGTCATGTTAGACAAATATAAAGGTTGGTCTTCTGCCCGGACTATCCGAAGCTTTTAAAATATGATATTCGCGTTGTTAGCCAGTTCGTTTCTCTTTTATTGTACCGATTTCTTCTTATGTCTGAAGTATGTTAGCTCTAACATTTTATTAAAAATCATTTTTATATATCTTTGAACATATTGTTTTCCTGGAATTTTTCAGATTTTCCTTTTAAAGCGTAGTAAATAAAATCTGAACATGTATAATGAAGATAAAAGCTTGTGACCAAAGCTTAATTTTATCTCATTAAGAAACATATATATCGAGAGGGAATCCTCAATAGCTGCGGCACTTGAAATTCTATTATGCAGAATTACAGTAAATTAATCGACCAGATGTTTTTTTTTCTCTCTTTTTATTAGCTATATTTGTGTGCGCCAGCAATACCAAGGGTGGGACGCGCGTATACCCGATTCGATTTAATTATTACTCATCAGGATCTTTACCAGCCTACCCTAAAATTTAAATTATTTTAGACAGGATTAATATATGAAACCTTGGACGTGGTCAAATATATCCATGAAAAGGATTTGACCTCCTCAGTACAAATCTGTAATTACATCTCAAATCGGTCAAGAGATGATGGAGCTCTGAGCTAAAAGTTTGTACTTGAAAAATTACTCTAAAATTATTTATGAATCTGCTTAACCTTTGGGGGGTGTGGTCTAGTTGTTAGTAAGTCGGGCCATGGGCCGAAGATCCAGGGTTCAAGCCTACGGTATGCTGCTGAATACATTCGGTGACATGCAATGCCGCTATTAGCTTAAGAGCAGTTATTTAGGCAGGAGATGCTGCCTCTGGTCAGCAGTTCTAAGTTCGGGTTAAGTATGCCTGAAACTTATGGTCTCAGATCTGGCCATTTAGCCCTTGTTTAGCAGCATAATGTGCTGATGAGATTAAAAATAACAAACAACACACGAACTATAAAACTTGAATTGAATTTGAATTCAAAGACTACTAAGTAGAATTCATTTCTTAATTATGATGTGTGTAAGGTTTAATTTATTGAGAAATTCACTTTACATGGTTTAACTTTAAAATTTTCTGAGACCAAATCTCATTATACTTTACTAAAGAGGGACAACTTACAGATAACATTTTCATATGTAATGTCACTGTTTAATATATTGATAAACAGCTTAAAAAGGGGCTCACACAATACTCTGTTTCGTCAACAATGACAAAACGTAGTGTTATATGTACACGTTTAATTGCACTTATGTAATAGACATCATTTATATTTCTTTTCAGCTGGGTAATGGCACATTTACTTATAACGTTATTCCTGATCGTATCTCCATAGTCAGGAGACACTACATACAATATCAGTCAGTAGCCCTGTTGGACAAAAAATGTTATCTCTTATCTGAACCTTGCAGTATAGTAATCAAATTCTCAATGAAATTTGGTTTAGAAACATTTATAACAAAGAATATTATTGAGTACATGCTACACAAAACAATTATTAAATATTAATGATAAAAAAACTATACAGATAAACATTGAAAATACAGCAGAATCCGATAAATATTGGAATAAGTTTAATATCGTAACAAAAACAAAACAATTATAAAAATTATCAATAGCGAGTATGTAGTATATTAAACATACCAGGTGTCTCTTTTCCTTCGTAGCTTAGATAGATGAGATTTCTCTAAGACTTTCAAACTTTTTCACATATACGTTCTTTCGCGCACAAGGATTGCTTTAACAAATAATAATACCAGTACAGGAATGCAGCTACCTTGTTACTGTCTTAGTCACTTATTGTCGTTGCTCATTTTCATTTGATGCCCAACCTATAATTGTGTGATATATTTTCATGTATTTTCCCTACCGAGATCAACAACGTAGAGATATAGTGATACCTAAATGATGTACCATCTCTAGTTTTATTTATATTGACCAATGTCATCAAACTGCAACATTACCAAAATTAACATAACTTCAAAACCACCCACCAGAACTATATACATGAACGGCACACT